CACCCAGAGGTGCCTCAAAAGAAAGGCCTGGTGATCTACTAAAAAATCAGCCACTGGAAATGAAGCACAATTCTACTCTGGCCCACATGGGGTCACCATGACTTGGAGTGACTCAACAACTGGTTTTCTGCTTTTTTCTGATCTTTAGGGAAGAAACTTGTCCCACAGGGGAACATGAACTGGTCATCAGAAAGAGCAATCTGAAAGACTCCATCCTCATTTTCCTTCCTGCAGACACTTTACCTTTCACCAATTGATCCGAGCGCATCACTATAAATTATGGCTGGGATGTGGGAGATGGAAGTACATTTTATAAAGCTTTAGAGATGTATTTATTCAAGGTAGCTGTGTGCAGATCTTTAAATAAGACTGAACTTGGACTTGGAAGACCTGGACTCAAATCTTTACTATGTGGTCACTTTTATGAGCCACAGGTCCCTAACCTGCAAAATAAGATTAACAGTATATACCCTCCTGTGAGAAAATGCATGCTTGAGTGCTTGATTAATGCCCCAAATATTACAAAGACCTGGAGCTCCTGGTGATGCAAGGTCTTACTCATTTTTGTATTCTACCACAGTGCTTGGCACACAGGAGCCCACCATAAACATTGGCTCAATGAAAGAATGAAGTAATTTCTTTACATGTAAATGTGGTGTGTTGATGTGATTATAATAAACATCCTTTGCTATTTTTCAGCTTTCACTGCCTTTTCTTTGTGAACACAGGCACTATTACCATCACTCCATGCTTTATACTCCCCAGAAAAAAAATGCCTGAGAAATAATCCCTTGATAAGAATGCTTTTTCTAAAGAAACTAATAGGTGTTGTTGTTGTTAGCTGCTGTCGAGTCAGCCCCTGCCTGACTCATCGTGACCCTGTGCACTACAGAATGAAACACTGACAGGTCCTGAGCCATAACCATGATTGGCTGGGGATTGGACCGTTGTCATCTACAGGATTTTCATTGGCTGAATTTTGGAAGTAGATTGCCAGGCCTTTCTTCCTATTCTATCTTAATCTGGAAGGTTTGCAGAAACTTGTTCAGCATCATAGCAAGCCATAAGCCTCCACTGACAAGTGGGTGCACATGAGGTGCACTGGCTGGGAATTGAACCCAGGTCCCCCACATGGAAGTCAAGAATTCTACCAATGAACCACCACTGCCTCATGTCTAATAGGTAAAATGACCATATAACTTATTGTCAATACTGAGCATGGACAGAGGTGCTTTTTAATAATTATGCCTGTACAACAGTATAAACTATGACTGTCCTGGACAAATCAAAATGCTTGTGAGTCATATCAATAGGGAAACATGATACTCAGAACTCTCTGGGGACAGTGACCCCAAATATTCCAAACCATCCTGACTTCTATTCTCTAGTTAAATCCTTGCAAGGGTGTCCTCCCTTCTCATCTCCACAACCCAACCCTATGGAGCTGTTTTCAGACCAATTCTTCAATGTTCTTATTGTTTGTAAATTATTTTCTGCCACTAGGTGACCCTGACCCCTCCTTTCTATTACTCTTGGCATGTCCTAGGGTGTTTGCACTGCCCCAAACACTAAAATGTGTGGTTCCTGCCAAAAACCCGTCATGTGAGCTGCAAAAATCACCCAGCCATTTTCTGATGCTGTTTCAGTTCAGAGAGCTTTGTACCAGTCCCAGTCATCTCACTAGTCTCAGTGGGTTTCAACTGGTCTCCCTGCTTCTACTCTTCACTACCTTTGGTCTGTTCTCAACCCAGTACCCTAGGTAATCCTGTAAAAATGTAAGTCAGATCATGGGTCTCCTCTGTTCAAAAGCAATGGCTTCCCACTTCCCTCAGAAAAAAAAAGGCAAGGTCTTTATAAGGGCCTAAAAGGCCCGAGCCTTCTTATCATCACCGTTGTTGTCAAGTCAATCCCGACTTATGGTGACCCCTGTGTGTCAGTAGAACTGTGCTCCACAGGGTTTTCAATGGCTGAGCTTTTGGGAAATAAGTTGCTATTGCAGTTCTGAGGGGCCTCTGAGAGGACATGAACCACCAACCTTTCGGTTAACAGCTGAGAGAGTTAACCATTTGCACCACCCAGGGGCTCCCTAGCCTATTTTTAAAGCCCCAAAATACAAACCTGTTGCCAAGTTGATTCCCACTCATGGCTACCCCACATGTTACAGAGTAGAAGTGTCTGTAGGATTTCTTGGCTGTAATCTTCACACAGGCAGACCGCCAGGACTTTCTTCCATGGCATTAGTCAATGAGTTCAAACTGACAAGTTGTAGGTTAGTACTCAAGAGCAAATTGTTTGTGCCACCCAGAGACGTTTTAGCCTATTTAGACTTCTATTATTTGGTGTTGCAGCAGTTAAGTGCTCAGCTGTTAACCTAAAGGATGGTGGTTTCAACCTACTAAGTGGCTCCACAGGAGAAAAACATGGTGATCTGCTTCCATTATGATTACAACCAGGAAACCCCTATGGAACATTCCTACTCCGTTACGTGGAGTCACATTATAACTCTGACCTCAACTCCTACAGTTCACCAGCCAGACAAGGGTCCTTGCAGGTTCCTCAAACACAGCAGGAATGCTCCCACCTCAAGACCTTTGCACTTGCTGCTTCTCCTCCCTGCAACATTTTCCCTTATATATCCATATGTTTAATATGGGATTGCCTCCTTCAGATCTTTTCTCTATCACTGGCTTTTCAGAGCTCTTCCCTGGCCACCCTAACAAACAATACAAACCCTCCCTTGACACTTCTTGTGCCCTTTGTGGGCCTTTTCTCCTTAGCACTTAGACACCACCAAAGACACTCAGTATTTTTCTTATTGTATTCTTGTTCAGCTCCCCCATACTCCATGAGAGCAGAGATTTTTATTTGTTTTGTCCTTTGTACCTAAAACAGTATCTGGCTTATAGTAGGTGCTCAATAAATATTTGTGGAAAGAAAGAAAGGATTGACTAAGAGGCAGCATTGCATGGAGGTAGACTATGTGGCCTCTGGAGTAAAAAGCCCTGAGTTAGAATCCAATGGCTCTGCTACTTTGAGCTGTATGGTATCAAAGGCCTTCATTCCTCTGTGAGCCTTTCATTCTCCGTATATAATATGGAGATAGGAGCCTTGCTGGCACAACAGCTAAGTGCTAGCTTCCTAAAAGAAATGTTGGCAATTAGAACCCATCTAGGGGTTCTGTGCCACTTTGGAAACCCAAGGAGGGGTCGCTATGAGTGGAGTCCAACTCCACAGTACATAACAACAACAACAGTGGTTCTGTGGGAGAAAAGACCTGGCAATTTGTTCCCAAACAGATTGCAGCCTAGAAAACCCTATGGGCAGTTCTACTTTCACATGTGGTCCCAATGAGCTGGAATCAACTTTACAACACCTAACAACAACAAGGGAATACTACACATTGTCTCCTCAGGCTGTTGAGAGCATTAAGTCCACTTCTACATATAAACCCCTGAACTCACTTCCAGGCCCTTTTTAAGAACTCTAAGCTTAGTCATCAGAAGGAAGATGGGGCAATCTACTTCTGTAGTGATGTTGTTGTTGTTATTTGCCGTTGAGTCGACCCTGACTCATAGCGACCCCTCCTTGGGTTTCCGAGGCAGTATCACTATGGAAGTAGGATTGCCCAACCTTCCTTCCGAGGAGTGGCTGGTGGGTATGAACCGCCAGCCTTCTGGTTAGTAGTCAAGTGCCTTAGTCACTATGCTACCAGATACTGCCTCGGAAACCTAAGGAGGGGTCACTATGAGTTGGGTCTGACTCGACGGCACAAAAACAACAACAACAACAAACTTAGTCAAGGAGTTCTGGTGGCATACTGCCTAAGGCATTTCACTGCTAACCAGAAGGCTGGTGGTTCAAACCCACCAGCCACTCCTTGGAAGGAAGGTTGGGCAATTTACTTCCATAGTGATAAAAACCAAAACCAAACTCATTGCAGTCGAGTCAGGTCCAACTCATAGTGACCCCTCCTTGGATATCCAAGGCGGTATCACGACGGAGGTAGATCACCTAATCTTCCTTCCAAGGAGTGGCTGGTGGTTCAAACCAGCATTCTGGTTAGCAGCTAAATGCTTTAGGCACTATGCTACCAGAGCTCCTACTGCCTAGGAAACTGAAGGAGGGATCTCTATGAATCGGATACGACTTGACGACAGTGAGTTAGATTTGGTTTGGCAACTTACTTAGTCAAGGAGCTCTGGTGGGACAGTGGTTAAAGCATTTGGCTACTAATCAATAGGTTGGTGGTTTAAACCTAGCAGCCACTCCATGGGCGAAAGATGAGGCAGTCAGCTTCTGTAAAGATTACAGCCTTAGAAACTCTATGGGGCACTTCTACTCCATCCCAAAGGGTTGCTCTGAGTCAGAATCGAATTGACTGGATGGCAGTGGGTTTATATAAATATATATATATATATATTAAGCTTAGTTAAAGGCAACTATTGTTACCACTGGAGGCTCCTGGCAGACTGACTGCTCTATGGGTCCATAACAGCAAATCAGCGTGCCCTTTGAGTCACAACTCAGACAACGTCTGTCCAAATGGGCCCTCCTTTCCTGAACCCCAGTTCCCCAGTCAACCTGGCCCGAGTTTCTTTGCAACCACACCCTTCAGTACACTCCATCTCACTTACACCTCCAGGAGAATTTCTCTCCTAGAATCTCAGGCTCTGTCCTGGAGCCCCTTCCACAAACCTGCCTCAGTGGAAATGATAAAGTTAGGTGGGAAACAAAGAGAGGGCCATAAGGTAAGGAAGAAGGGAGAGAATACGTGTGTGGGCTTGCTGGGGTTGGGGCAGTGCAGAGCCAACCAAGCCATCCCACCTGCCAGCTTCCTGTCGGCCTACTGATAAATAGGAGATACTAATGGCCAGATTTTCCATTCCCCCACCCTGGCACCCACTGTCACTCGATTAAAAAAAGATAGGAGAGAGCCTGGGGAGGGGCAGGAGGCCTCCAGTTATAAAGCCTGTGGCCGAGGGAGTGGCAGCACTAAGATTGGCCTCTTCCCATCATCCCCAGCCAGATTTAGCTGCTGACAGCTGCTAGAGATCCTGCCGTCAGGCCCTGGCCCCAACAACCGCCTTTCCTCTCTCTCAGTAAGTCCTGAGTCACAGCCCCTCCATGGCCCACAAAGAAGAAGCCACTACAGCCGAAGCACCCGCCTCCCAGAATGGGGAAGACCTGGAGAACCTGGACGACCCCGAGAAGCTGAAGGAGCTGATTGAGCTGCCACCCTTTGAGATCGTCACAGGGTGAGACGGGGTGTGGGCAGATCCTCCTCTTTGATAGGCTGTGGACATTTAGCATGGTAATGGTAGGGGTCAGGTGTGTGCAGGGCAGGGGCTGTAGGGCACACAGTGACACATCTCTCTTGGCTTCTCAGAGTGACATCTTGAGCTCTCTAGTCAGGGGGAGGCAGGAGGAGAAAGGCTCAGAGAATAAAGCCACCTCTCAAGCCTCATGGAATTGCATAGTCACCTTGCCTCTCTGGATAGAGGTTGTTTAGTCCTAGGGAGCTTGATGGGGTGATAAGACAAGACTGGAACATTTAAATATGGCCTGAGTTAAAATACCCTCTTCCCTCATTTTCTCTGTCAGCTTCTGAGTGGGTCTCTCCTCTATCTATATGTGCCTAGTTCATTCTTTAGAGCTTCTCTGGAGCTGAAGGTCCTAAGACAGGGAAGATAGATCCATCCTTCCCCAAGGTTGAATGAGACGCATTTTTTTTTTTACTTATTGAATCTTTTCTGAGTCTCCCCAAAGGCTGTCCACATCCACTGCTTACAGTGCAAGTAAAACCACCAGGCCCAGGAACAAATTGATAGAGATGTCCCAACACTTCCAGCCACAACCTGGAGGAATAGAGGCACAAAGCATAGGGTCTAGAGGGTGCAAAGTGGGGACTGGGTGCAGGGTCCCTCTATCTTATCCAGATTATGCTTTTTCCAGGGATAAACCCAAGTAATGTTCTTCCTCTCTCATTCCTGTAGTGAGAGATTCTGCTGAATCCCTAAGTGAAAAATAAGAAGAGGTATGTGGAGCTACATACCCTCACTGGGCCCCAGGGTCTAATTCTATGGTATGGGGTTCTCTAGCAATGCCCATGATCAGTAGAGTGGGTGCCACTTCTAGCTCTAGAGGCTTCAGTAAGAAAGGAGGCCTGGTGCCTGCAAGGGTCAGAGGGTGCATTAGGTGGCCGTTCAGATTTGCTGTTTTAAGTTTGGCAAGTGATTTTCCATCCTGGTCTCAGTGTTTTGATTTGTAAAATGAAGAAATTGCACTAAATGAACCCTAAAGTCCCTTCCAGCTCAGCTTTTTGCTGATTTCTAAGAGAACCAAAGGGAAATGTGTCCTAGTTTCTGAGGTCTGAGCAGCCCCTTGAACTTTTATTTGACTATGCCCACCTGCCTAATTTCATACCCATCCCAAGACTGAAAAAGAAACAGCTGGACAAAGATTAATATAAGCATAGGGAGAGCCTAAGGCAGCCAGGCCAAAAGAGTCGCTCAAGTCTAGTGCTAGGAAATCCTTTTTCTAACAGCTAAGCCTGGTGGTCTGTAGTGTCCTTGGTCACACACAGCACTCCACCCTATGCAGTGCTCTGATCTCTCCAGCACTGGAGCAGGGCAGATCAAGAACAGAATTAAACTGTGTTTATTGAGTTGAACATGCTTTTGGGGCTCAAGATAGTGGATCTTGAAGGGTAAGTCCTCTGATGTTACATTAGTCCAGGGCTTTATAAATCACAATATATTTCACATGCATGAGCTCATTCAACTCTCAGCACCATCATAAGAGAGAGAGAGAGAGATTATTGACCATTTGGTGCAGTGGTTAAAGTGCTTGGTGGTTCAAATCCACCAGGCACTTTGTGGGAGAAAGATGAGGCACTCTGCTTCTGTAAAGATTCACAGCCTTAGAAAGCCTATGGGACAATTCTATTCTGTCTATAGGGTCACTATGAGTAGGAATTGACTCAATACCAGCAGATTTGGTTTTTGGGCTTATAGATGGGGAAACTGAGACTTGGGGAGTTTGAGTGACTCGCCAAAACCACACAACCAGTAGGTGGGAGGTGTTCTGGTGCTTCCAGCCAAGTGTTCTTGCCACTGGTCTCTTACTCCCTTTGCATCCCAGGTTTTCCAAATAGTGCTCACCTACCTCCATCTGCAAAGTAAAGAGGGCCAGAGGCTTCCCACGTTCCAAAGCTCAGAAAAAGAGGCACAGCAGGGCACCTTTAGGTGCTTGGCTACTAACCAAAAGGTCAGTGGTTCAAATCCACCAGCCACTCCATGGGAGAAAGATGAAGCAGTCTGCTTCCATAAAGATTACAGCCTGGGGAACCCTATGTGGCAGTTCTACTCTGTCTTAAAGAGTCGATATGAGTTGGAGTCAACTTGAGGGCAATGAGTTGGTTTAAGAGCAGTTCAAGTGGGAGGGGAAGCTCTGAGTATTTCCTGGTCACAAGCAATAGATTTGAGACTGTCTTCTGGGTCCCTCTGGATAAATAGATGTGTGGCTGTGTCTGTGCAGGAAGTGGTGAGGGAACAGCTTTCCTCTCCTTTAGAGCCAGAGGGGTCAGCACAGCAGCTCCTTTCCTAGTCTAGATCCCACAGGGGGCGAATCTACTTGTCACACACCTTACACTTAGGCCACAAGCTAGCAGATACACCAGTTGCCATCCAGTTAACTCGAACTCATCATGATCCCATGTGTGTCAGAGTAGAACTGTGCTCCATTGCATTTTCAATGGTGAATTGCCAGGCATTTCTTCCAAGAGGCCTCTGGGTAGACTCGAAACTCCAACTTTTTGGTTAGCAACTGAGCACATTAACTGTTTGCACAACCCAGGGGCTACAAACCACCAGAGTAGGCAGCTTTTCAGAAAACAGGCTGAAGTAAAGAGGAAGGATCTGGTAAGAAAAAGAAGGAATAGGCCCTACTTTTAGTAATTTTGGTTTGAATAGGGCAATTAGGATAGAAAACAGACCTAAGAACATTAGCTAAATAACAAAGGGAAAGTGCTAGCAAAAAAAAAAGCCTAAAATTGCAGTGGTGTGCTGGAGCCAGCTCACATTGACTGGAAAAGCCATTGTACGCATCTCTTCCCTGCTCTGTGTTCAGTGATAACTTGAAATCAGTGAGAGTATTTACACTATAGAAATCAGCAAAATGTTAGAAAGCAGGACTTTTTTTTTTCTTTCAGAGAGTTAGGCGTTAAATCTTTACCAGCACACCACTGAAAGAGAAACCTCTGAGGTGAGAGGAAGAGCAGAGAAAGGATCAGGTTTGGTAATTGCTAAGACAGAGCTCTGAAAGATACAAGGGCTAGAGAAGGCAGCATCCATCAATCCTAGGATTTATTGAGTGTCTACTGTAGTCCAAATCCTGAGAGGCTGGATAACTTGCCCAGTCCTTTAGAGGAAGAAACTAAACCTCAGAAAGACGGATAATTTGCCTAAAACTAGTTGGTGGAGCAGGGCATGAACTCTAGGACTCAATGACTCCAAATCAACACATGGTATCTAAAAAAATCATAAAGAAGATTCTTTTTTAAAATACACTTTATTTTTTTGAGAAATTTTAGGTTTACAGAAAAGCTGCACAGAAAGAACAGAGTTCCCATATACCCTCACTCCCTTTGCACAAACAAAACAAAAAACTCACTGCATCAAGTCAAATCAGACCTGACTCATTAGGACCCCTCCTTGGGTTTCCAAGGCAGTATCTCTACAGAAGTAGATTGCCCAGTCTTCCTTCTGAGGCGTGGCTGGTGGGTTTGAACTGCCAGCCTTATGGTTAACAGTCAAATGCCTTAGGCACTACACCACCAGATCTCCTCCCTTTGCACAGTTTCCCCTATTATCAGTGTCTTGCATTTGTGTGGTACATTTGTTATGATTGATAAGCCAATACTGATCCATTATTATTAACTAAAGTCCACAGTAAATATCAGGGTTCATTCACTCTTTGTGTTGTACAATTCTACTTCTATGCATGTTGACAAATGCATACTGTCATGTGTCTCCCATTACATTATCATACAGGCACTATTGAACTAGTGCCTTGTTCTAATGTTGTTGGTTGTCATCAAGTTGGCTCCGGCTCATGGTGACCTTATGGATAACAGGAAAAAATATTGCCTGGTCCTGTGCCATCTTCATGGTGGATGCTGTGTTTGAGTCCATTGAATATAGAAGACAAACTGACACGGGGTACCCTGGCCTACGCTCAGGGCTCATTGAAGGTCAAAGCTGTGTGTGCAAAGATGGTGCCTCTCGGGGAAAGGGGACAACTCCAGGCTAGCCTTGGGCAGAATTCCATCCAGCCTTGCAGACGTGGAGCAGCTAGCCCACCAGCCCCTTTCTCAGCTCCTGAAAGTACAGGCTGCTAGAACACTCTGCTTCTCCTGTTTCCCTATGACCACTTCTTAGCGTCTGCTTCAAAAGTGGTCTGAAAAAGGGAGAAGGTAATTGAAACTGGCAATTCTGTCTCTTTTGAGCAGGTCACTGAAAGGTCTAGTGAGGGAAAGCTGAAACCAGTCAACACTCAATTACCTGTGAGTAGATTTTCTACTTCATGGATTATTTTGGAGCAAATGTTTAATCTCAGGGCTTCTATTGCCCACCAGGTTCACTGTATGGATTTATGTTTAGGAAATGCAAATGCCTTTTAATGTGAACCTGAGAAAAAACTGATTACAGTAAATATCATCACATCCCTTTTCCCGCCATCAAGCAGAGCATCTTCCTAATTTTTCTCCTTGATATTAGGAATCTGTCTCCTCCCTAGAAAGCTGCAGTACTCAACAGCTTGGGTCTAAGCAGATGAAGTGTGAATGTCTTGTTTGTAGAAAGTATGAGGAAGCCATGCTTAGAGAGACACTATCCGAGACTGGGGGAGGGGACAGAAATATGCAGTTGCCTTCCGTGCCTAAAGAAGTGGATGAACCCAGGACACTAACTTGAAGAATGGGATTACCAGCATCTCTCCCTCTCCTGACACTCCACTCCAACACACACATTCATACACACACCCACACACATGAACCACTTTAGCAATAAAATATTTGCTAGGGATAGGAATAAAGAGGCATGGAAGTTCTAAGGTATATCAGTATACTTATGCTACTAGGGAAAACAAACAAACAAAAAAGGATGCTTGTGATTATCTAAGAAATTGTTGTTGTTGTTGTTATGTGCCATCAAGTCAGATCCGACTCATAGCGACCCCTCCTTGGGTTTCCAAGGCAGTATCACTACGGAAGTAGATTGCCCAACCTTCCTTCTGAGGAGTGGCTGGTGGGT